CCTGGGGTCCCCCCAGAGCCCCTGTAGGAATTCCCCTGGAAGTTGGGGTCCCCTGAAGGTCACTGAGCCGTGCCCCCCCAGATTACTGGGACCGAGGAGAGAGCAGCTGGTATCCAAAGACGTTTCTCCCGGTGGAATCTGGATTATTTCCCTGGGGAACTGCAACAAGAAAAGACTCCACCAGATTCCCAAGCAGATAAGTTGGCATTTGAAAGAGAAAGGGACACTGACCTCCTTTGAAGGGAGGCTCGGCGAGCCGGCCCCACCCACCCGCCACGGGGAGGCCGCTGGGGCCCTGGGGAGCCGGGTGCCCCAGCCTGGGGCGCACCCCGCTCGCCCCACCCGGCAGATAACCCTCTCCTCGTCCCCTCTGCAGACGACGGGAGCCTGGCGGAGGAGAAGGGGCTGCACTGTCAGAACCCCGACTGCATGGACAAAGGGCCGGCGGCCAAGGTAGGAGGCCCAGGGCTGGGCGAGGGTGGGGCTGGGGCGGGCAGGCGGCTCCGAGCCCTCAGCCCAGGCGCCAACAGACAGCCGGAGGGCCTTGGCAGGGCGCAGGGTGGGCATCACTGAAAGGGGCTGGTGCGGGAGGCCCTGCTGGGCAGTGGGGCGGGGGCTCCTCGGGGGGCGGGGCTCCTGGGGGGGCGGGGCCTGCACCAGGGTCTTGGCAGCAGCCCTCCGGTGACCGGTGGGTGACCGAGGCCCTCACCTCCTGTCACGGTTGGGGAAGTGGAGGCCGGGTGAAGGGAGGGGTTCCCAGCCCCAGCTTCTGTGCCGTGCCCACGGGTGCCTTTCCCATGGCAATGTCCACTGTGGCCTCCGGCAGGGATCGGGGACACTTTGGGACTTGGCGAGAGTGACCGCGGCCCTGGGGGTGGCACAGGGAAGAAGGAGCCATCGGCCTGAATGCCAGCTCAGAAGCGGGAGCAGGCAAAGCCCTGCAGCGGGAAGTGGTGGCCACGCTGTGCCTGCGGCCAGGGCCCGGCCCTCTGCGGCCGGCACGGCTGCCGTCTCCCAGTGAAGAAGCCGAGGGTCAGCGCGGTCGTGTGACTTGGCTGAGGTCCCGCAGTTTGGAGAGCCGCCGCTGGGTGTGAACCCAGGTCTGGCCCTTCCCAGCAGGCACCCCGGTGAGGACCGCAGCCCGCGGTCAGTCCCGCTCCCACTGCCTGATGCCACTGCCCCGTGTGCAGGCGGGAGGTCACGGCTGGCCCGAGGACACAGCCCTGGGATGTGGTCGAGCCGGGACTGGAGCCCAGAACCGGCTGGGTGTCTTGCCAGAGCTCCTGCCCCTCGCCACGGTGCCCATCAGCCTGCCTGCGAAAGGGGTGGAGAATGGCCCCCACGAGCCCCGCACTCTGCGTCCTGCACCGGAGGACCGGTGGGAAGGGGCGCTCTGCGGGTGGCCGCGGAGGGTGGCTTCCAGCGCCGTGGTCGCCTGGCCAGGGGGCGGCTGGGCCACCAGCCGTCTGCTGGCACGGATGGGGCTGGCACCGGGGCTCTGCTGTTGGCCAGTTGCCTACCCCCAGATGGGGGCTCCTGGCGAGGAATGGCCTCAGCTCCCCGCAGCTTACATTCCGCGCGGGGCCTGCAAAGCGTGGGAGCTTTGCCTGTCCTGGAGGGGCGACGGGGACAAGGGGGCCCTGCCCTCCTGTACGCGGCCGGCCTGGGGCAGACTGCTGGGCGGCTTGGGCAGGGTGAGGCCTGGGCGAGAGTGCAGCCCCCACAGCCTCCACGTGCCCACTCCAGCCCGGGCCTGCCCAGACTCAGCTTGGCGCTTGGCTGACATTGGCATCCACAGAGGGCCACTGGCGACCCCTTTGGGACACATGTCCCAGGCTGGGGGACAGCACTGCTTGGGAGATCAGACTGGAGAGCCAGGCAGGAGGAGGTGGCTGAGAGTAAGGCGGTGGCCACCCAGGAAGTGGGGGGCCGCCACAGCCAGAAGAGCAGAGACAAACGGGGCCCCGGCAGGGGCTGCCAGGGGGTCGAGCCGGCTGTGCAGTGGCGAGGAGAGGTGACGAGATAAGAGGGGTGTCCTTGCATGGCGGGCACAGGCGACCTTAGCAGGTGGTGCTAGACCCACGCTGCGGCGCTGAGCCTCCAGGGGACCTCAGGAGAGCTGCCACTGTGCCCACGTGGCATGTAAGGAAACTGAGGCTCAGAGGGGAAGGAGCTTGCTCACATGGCGCCGCACGGCCTGGAGATGGAGAGGCCCCCGCCGGCCGCCAGCAGCTAGCAGGACCAGCTTTCGGAAGGGGGTGACGTCACGCACTCATCCACCAAGTCGGCGTTGAGCGTCTGCTGTGCCAGGCCTGGTTCTAGGCCCTGGGGGTTGCCAGGAAACAGAGTGCCCGCCCTCCTGCTGCTGCAGTCCTGGCCCCGCTGGAGGGGAAGGGACTGGGGACTTGGGGTGGCCAAATGGACCCCACGGCTGCCCTGGGGAGGGGCCGTTCGCTTCCCCTCACGGGCTGTGGGTCCTGCAGTTTCTGAGACCAATCAGTCCCACCCCGTTCCCCTGGGGTTCACCTGCAGGCAAGGGATGACCACTGTGGACTTTCTGGAGGAGGCCAGGGCTTCCTGAGGGATGGGGAAATGGAGATGGAGGGGGGGGGCACTGGGGCTGGGAGTGAGCTGGTCAGCGGCTGGCTGGCTGGCTGGCTAGCGGGGAGGCGGAGCAGGATGGGCCCCGTGTCCTCAGTCTGGGAGCCCACGGAGGCGGTGCCAGCCGCAGCTCAGACCTGCGTGCTGGGGCTCCCAGCCCACGCCCTGCTGTGCGCCCCTGGGCAGGTCCTGCCTCTCTGAGCTTCTCACCTGCAGAGAGGCTGGGGTTCTGGCAGACTGAGACCGCTCACTGGGGTGTCCTAGGCACCCCCACTGCGGGGTGCTCCCACCTCACCTCGCATTTTTCAGCCAGGGCAGAAGCCCCCAGACTGGGTATCCCCTCCTGCCCCTCCCTGCCAAGGCCTCCCGGGGCTCCCTTCCTGACCCAGCCAACCCCTCCCTGCCCACAGTAACCTTTGTTACTCCCCGGCTGCCCCCTCCCCAGGTGAGCTGGGGAGGGGTGACAGGAGAGGATTTTGCCCCTCCCTGGGGGGGGGCCAGGTGGCAGTGTGAAGGTCTGGTGTGACCTCTGCGCCTCCTGGTCTTCTGCAAGGTGACCACAGGGCTCTTGGCCTCTGACTCCCGGCCCCTTGGCTGGCCCTCTGGTCAGAGTCTGTGCAGGGCACCCAGATGGGAGGTGGGGGAGGCACCCCATGATGGGGAGGACACCGGGCCACCATATTTGAGGGACTTCAGAAGGCTCAGGTGTTTATTCTGGACCCCTTAGAGCATGAGATGTCAGAGCCCCGGCGGGGAGGGAGGTGAATTTGGTTCAGGAAGTTTCCACAGCAGAACGGTTCCCCAGTGGCCAGGTGGGGAGCAGCCTCCCTGGGAGGATTCGGGCAGAGTGGAGGTGGCCCTGGATGACTTCAGCCTCCCCTTCCAGCTCCACAGGGGGTTGTGGGGTGGCAGGGATGAGTCAGGGACGTGTGTCTGGGGAGGGGTGGCTGGAGGACGGCAGTGGACACAGACTAGGGGCAGAGGAAGGGTGGGTCTGAGATCCCAGCAGGCGGGGGCAGGATGTAGTGAATAATGGGTGAGGGAGACACCTACCGGCCTGGGCCTGGGGGAGGGTGGGTTTGGTTTTGGGGGTTGATGTTGGGGGTGGGGGAGGAGGTGGGGCACCAGGCGCCCTTGAGAATGGCCCCATCCCCGGGCTCTGGTGGAGACTGGGCCTTTGGGTGCCCGTCTGCGGGGGACAGGCAGCAGTGCAGTCCGGCGGGAGAGAAGTAGAGCACGTGGACTCCTGAGCTCTGGTTCAGTAATTTTGGGGTGAGCAGGCAAAGGTCTGGGGTGCCTGGCCCAGGAGGATAGAGGAGACACCGTGGGACCTGGCCAAGCTGCACTGCCCTGGCCTGGGCCTAAACTCAGGGCGGTCAGTACTGCGGGCAGCCCGGCGGTCAGCTGAGGGGAGCAGGGCACCAGCACCCTGGAGGCTCTGGTCAGGTGACCAGCTGGGGTCTGGGGGTTGTTCTGGACCTGGCAACATTCTTGTTGGCCTAAGACCCACACCCCTGGCCTCAGGGCACCCAGCCCAGATAGGCGGTCAAGGCCGTCTCTGGAAAAGGTGGGGTGTGTTTGCCAGCAGCACCCTCTTTCCTCACGCGCTCCCCCCAGCAAGCCCCCGCCCTCAGAGCGGGGTACTCTGGACACGAACCTGTGGGAGGAGCTGGGGACCACAGGGCGGAAGGGACAGGTGGTATCGAGGGGTGCAGAATCCAGCCATTGCCCGGGTGCTCAGCCGGGGCTTCAGCTCCCAGTGAAAGCCCAGGTGGGGGCTTTGAGCCTTCCGGGGGGCGGCGAGGGGCCGGCCCGGCCG